CTCCCGCATGCTCCAAGGTCATCGGTCATGTGACAGGACACTGGAAGTACATCAGATCCTAACTTCAGATGGTAGGCTTTGTTACCTTCAGCCCTGAAAAGTAAATAAGAAAACTTGAACACGGAAGTTGTATGCAACTTCATGAAAGCCACGCGAACGGAACGATTAATAGATGATAATTAGTTATTATTTAATCCGTTTTCTCATCATAACTATTTTTCACAAAGCTAAAGTTACTTACAAGTTCATGTCATACAATTCCTTGCAGCTTGAGGTTCTGAGGTTCTGAAGAAGAAGACATAGACCTTGGTATACGTAAATTAATATCTTGACAGGCCAAGCAATCTACTGAATGTGTGCTGGCGGCGAAGATCAAACTCGAATAGATTAAAATACATGGCCCTCCATATTGAGCCAGAAACTAGGGGGAGGCAAGTTACTCTATCCTTTGAAGCTTCCGTTGTAGCAGAGTGAGAGTTTGCCAAGTCAACAGATTGTTAATTGTTGTCATATTGTGGTGTCCAAAATATGCAAATTAGGTCACGTGAACTCCCAAGGCTACCTTACGTAAACTGGGAGTACATTTTTCTTTGCTTTAAAGGTACATTGTGCTTTGTGCTTGGAAATGTTAACATATTTTAAGAGAAGCATTTGGAAAGACAAATTACTTTTATCGGGAAACTAGTTGTCAAAAAACCCGTTTATAATCCTAAATTAATCAAATATTCAACAACTCTCAAGAACAGTTCCTTTGCAGGTTCCATTTTTGTTTTGCCACCCTTTTTTGGGCTGAAGCCACGTGATCTAATTTGCATATGTCCGACCCGTCAAAATATATCACTAAAGGAGTATTATTTGTCCCCCGAACTTTTAAGTTGCTATAAACAATGACTTAAGAGATGGACCATCCCCTCACAGTTGACTTATGCCTGGGAAACAGAACAACTAAACGGTTTACTTAATGAATTAACTACAAGGGCGCGGCTCCCTACGAAAGCCAACGTTTGCCATTTTGAGGCAACAAGTAAGTCAAATAACTAGAAGATGGTAGTAAAATATAATCGGAAACTTACTCAGTTCAACGCAATTTTTTCCAATCCAGAATCGTCTACAAATGCAA